CTCTGACCCCTGAAGCTGCTTTACAACAGACTTGTTATGTCATCACACCTTCCCCATGTGCTGGCTCTCCCCTTCTCCTTGGATAGGCAGCCCTCCAGGCCTACTGAGACTACAGCTGATCCTCTGCAGCTGGCCAGCCTTGCCAGTCCCATGCTGGGGGCTGGGGCCAAAGGAGGGCATGGCCAGGGCCAAGACCGGCTGAGATAAGGATGAGGGGGTGAGGAGGGGCTGGGTAGCAAGGGGAGAGGTGGGCGGCATGGGGATGAAGAAAGGGGATTTGCACCCTTTCAGTTCGTCTACAGCTCTTCATGCTCCACTGACCGCGGTAATAGATAAGCACACCCTGCAGCTCTGCATAATGACCAGCTACATCCACTAAACGATACTCCTGCACATCTCTGTGTTGCTCGCTCTCTTTTCTGTGTTCCTTTCTTGCATACAGGAGATGTGTATGTATTGCAAAAGACTGCTTGGCATGGGAAAATAGTTTATTCAGCTCTTACTGTTTAAGTCTGCAGTATATTCTCAGATCATAGACTGTATATGTGTGTGACGGATGAGGAGCAGCATTGGCAGCACCTGTGACCCATGCTGCAGTGGAGACTTTGTGCACACCTGAGCAGCACCTGGCCACAATCACAGACCAGGTCTGAGGAGGGTCTCTCCTGGGAAGGAGCATTAGCACATGACACCTGCCCCTGTAAAAACACTCTGGGGCTGCCAGTGTGACGTGGGATATGACACTTCAAGTGACAGAAGGAAAGTGAAAAGAGATGCAATATGCAGCATGTGTATGGTACTTTTTGTATCTTAAAGAATGCCACGTCATCAAAACAATGCTACAATGTAATCTTACGGTGTAAAAGAAACAATAGCAAGAGATTGAGAATCATCATTATAATAAAAAAAAGGTATTGTTGCAACCTGTGGCTACCATTTGAGCAACAAGCAAACATTAAACAGGGACTCGTGAAAGCCGAAATGACATCATCACCATCACTCATAGTTGTCACATGCTGGACTGTGTGAGACACAAATGTGATTGTACAAAAAATCTTTTTCAGGGCGACCCTTCATGAGATTTAGCTCTGAGGTTAAATTAGATTGGGGTAACCCATAAAAATAGTCAATATTGCATCACTATACAACACAGTATTTGGAGCTGACGTTCTGAGCAGGTATTTTCTTATACTCCCTGAATAATTCACTACACAGCAACTTTACCCGACTGAATCTAGGGGTCAAAGCTTTCAGCCACAGCTTATGAAATCCTGCTGCAGTTAAAGGTGATGCAAAAGAAAAAGAAAAAAATGGGATACAACACAAACAGTAACCTATCACACGTAGTGACTGTAGTCACATTGAAGTCACACGGGCTGGAAGCAGGACGCATGTGGCTGAATGTGTGCATTGATGACGGCTCTAAGCTGATTAGTTATTATGCAGAGCTAAAGCTGCATGAGTAATAAGTATGAAGCATACCAGAGTAACGTGAGCATGAAATAACAACTCAGCAGTAAGTGATATCACGGCATCAGGCACATGGCTGCAAATAAACTGAAGCAGAAGCAGTTATGACAACAGTCCGGTTTATGACCCATACGACTGGGTCATAAACCGGCTTGTTTAAAGATAAGTTTTGTCCCCTCTGCAATGACGGCACTTAATAAACCAGCTCAGAGCCCCTGATATAAAGATCCAGCCTCAACATCCATCCAACCAGCCATACCCTGTACATTCTCTGTTTGATGTTATATGTTATGTTATCAGTCGACTCCCTAGTGGAAAATATCATCTGAATCTGTGAATCTGAATATCAGATTTGGGACAATAAAGCTATCTAACTATGAAAGGAGCACACACTGTGACTAATGACAGCTGTGAAAAGCTTTATCCACCCTCTTTGGCTAACTAGCAAATTTAAAGCTTCATCTGAGGTTAAGCTTGAGATTCCACACTAAGTGGAAAACAATTCCAGTCTATTAAGCAAACATGGACAAAAAAGGCAAACATTAAGCAGCGTACACAGCACACAAGGACATGCAGTCGCAGTACAGCGTGAAATAAAGGAGCAGAGTGCAGCTCTTTCAGTTGTAGCTCATCGCCTGTGGTAATTGCCCAGATTGCTTGAAATCAACGTCCCCCACAGGCTTCCCCTCATCGGGCTGACACCACAAGGAAATATCTAAGCAGGTAATTAGATCTAACTATTTCATGTCAGGGCTGTGAACTGTTGGTAATCCCTGTGGCTAAACAATTATAACAACTGGGTGAGAAACAAGCCCACAATATAATATCTCCATTCAGGCATTGGAAAAAAAAACAGAATAAGATTCAGGGGATAATAACCGTCATCAGCGGCACATGAACACTTGGGAATGGCATGTGTGTACTTCTTTTAAAGTGATATCCTGGAGCAGGATGAGGATAGGACCTTTGTCTTTTTGTTTAGAGTCCAACTAAATCACAATTGTAAGGCATGAGTAAATGCCACATCATCAGAAACATAAGGAGAAGTTAAATAGCCAGCTAAGCAGGAATATGCAACTATTACATAGACACATAAGAGAAATTAACATAAGGCCTGATAATGATGCTGTTAAAGATATATAACTGTGCCAATATCATTTAAGCTGTTGCTAACAGGTTTATTAAGTCAGTAATATTTCGAAAGTATAGAGCAAAAGCTGTGGCCCTGATTAAATATATAACACTGCCCCTTCACACCATCATTTTCCCCCAATGTGAAGCAGATTTTCTGAACTTAAGTGACAGCCATAAGACTAGGACAAGTTTTGTGTGTCTAGGATGCACACTGATGTGGCCTTTTTCCACCTCAGAAACATCGCCACCTCCGCCCATCCCTCTCATTTTCAGCTGTCGAGACCCTCACCCACGCATTCATCACCTCCAGATAGACTACTGCAACAGTCTCCTCTACGGATCACCATCACATTCACTCAAGAACCTCCAATACATCCAGAACTCTGCTGCTCGTCTCCTCACACACTCCTACACCAGAGACACCCATCACCCCCGTTCTTCATGACCTCCACTGGCTCCCCATCCCCCAGTGTATCAACTTCAAGCTCCTCATCCTCACCTACAAAGCCCTTCACAACCTGGCTCCCCACTACCTGTCTCACCTCCTCCAACTATCGGTCCTGGGGGGACAGGGCTTTCTCCATTGCTGCTCCCACCCTCTGGAACTCACTCCCAAATAACATCCGAGACTCCCCCCACACTCACCTCCTTCAAGAAATCCCTCAAAACTCACCTCTTCATCACTGCCTACAACCACTAAGTCCCAAACCCCCCCCCACATTACTTCTTTGTTGTACTGTCCTCGTCGTTTTTTATTTTGTTTTCTTGTTTTATGTTTTTGTCAAAACGTCTTTGAGTTTTCAGAAAAGCGCTGTATAAAACCAATGTATTATCATTATTATTATTATTATTATTATGCAGGACTGTGTAACTCTTTGTGGTGTCACTCACATGGCTAAGACTAAAAACACTGTCTGTCGTTTAGCATAAACAAAAACAATATGGCCACCACCTGTGGGGCAGCGTGTATGTAGACGTGCGAGTTAGTAAGAGGATTGTAGCACAGTAGAGGTGGAGCTAAGATGCACGTGGAGTCCAGAACAGCTGATCCAAAGTCTTCCCAAACATGGGAGCCGTGTCCCCGGGGAGAACAGTGTCACCGTTAAGCAGTGAATTGGCTCCGCCCCCATTCTTCAGACTTCAGACCACTTCTGCAGTGACACTGGAATAAGAGCGTACCGCCAGCTTGGAGGGAAACAGTCTACTCTAAACAACTGTTTAACCTCTCCTCTCTCATTGCTTCTGATCCATTAAACATGAGCATGCCTTTTTCTAAACAAAATGCACATTTATAAAAACTGACAGTTTAAATCTTTGCAATACACAAAACTGCAGAACACCCAAAATATGCTGTATAATACAAACAGTCATAACTGGTTGAAAACTGCACAGTCATCAATAAGTTATTTTCTAAGCATGCATCTTTATCTGTCAGTTCAGTTGTTGAGCAGAGGCTGAGATTAAAAGCAGAGCAGAAACCAATTGTTCCTATAGTTAATCAAGTAAAAAACAATCAACATGGTCAGTCCACTAAATATTATGAATGATTTGTCTTTAGTTATTACTGTTATTTTGACTGTTTGTGGGCTCAGGTTAGAGGCTGCAGCAGATCATTCAGAAAGGTTTCAGACATTCACAGTAGAGTGAACAGTGAATTTAACATGGAGTCATCTGTTGTTCCACATTAAATCTGAGGGCGGGCCCTCAATTCTTTTTTTATCTTCATTTGCCATAAATCCTTGAATTAAAGTATATGAATTATTCAAGATAGTTTGACAAGCAGCAGGAGATGATTGGCTTAACTAAAATGAAGACTTCATGTTTTTAGTAACTGCTTAAAAAAGCTTCAGTCATTTGTTTTTAAAAGAACATTTCTATTCAGTGTTAAGTTTTCTTTAACAAGGTAGATTTAATAAAGCAACGTATAAGGACAAGCATGATTTGACAAAGTAAAAGGTAGAGTGGAGGTACATTAATTCTAAAAAAACACTATAATTAATCTACAATAAATGTAAAATGTTCAATTCCTAGATAAAAAGTATTTTATCCATCAGCCTGTATAACCCCACATCTAAAATTCACCAGCCTGCTGCCAGAGGAAGTAGCTGAGGGCGGTTTTGATGTCTAGGAGACAGCTTCTTATGATGGAAAGCTATACTGATGGCGTGACTTCTAGCCTGGGGGAGGGTCATCACAGGAGGAAGAAGAAGAAGGAGATTCAGAAAGGGGAGGGGGATTAACGGGGGAATAAACACAGCAGGAGATGGGGGAAAAAATAGCCCTGTAGCCCTGCGAGCCTTTCAGTACTGCTACCTCAAGATGCATGATGTGTCTTAACCCCAGTCAAGCAATTTTCTAACAGGCAGTCTATCCACAACGGAGGGGCATGTACTTACCCATTATGTTGGAGTTCATAAAAGGTGTTGGGGACAATCCTTCATTGGTCACTAATCGTCTGTCACTCAGATGATCGCCGTAATGAGGGCTGTCAGCAAAACCCTGGGGGGAGAGATCAGAATATTAAGCACATTATGTGGCAACTTCGCTAATTGAGCGATACGACAAACCACTAATTAGTGAGAGGGCAGCATCACTGGTCTGTTAATGCTGAGAGACTGATCTCTTTCTTCTATAAAATCATAGATAAACGCTTTGAAGAAGATATACAGATCTTTACACCTCTGCTGTAATTCAACTGATGGTTCAAATAACAATACATTTTAACTGTGTTGGTTGTATTACAATAACTCAGTTTATTTGTTTGTTTTTAAGACACAATAATGTGTTTCAAACTGTTTATTTTTTGCTTTATCAAAGATCATTCATGATCACAAACTGAGTCTTTAAGCCCCTGTTAAAGACTCACATTTCCTCTTTGTTTTGAACCTTTATATTTTCCTATGTTTTGATACAGTGCCTTTGATTATTCACACTTTGACGCTGTTCTTTTTTGCTGCTGTAATACAACAGTTGTTGGTGGAAGCCTCAATATTTATCATTGATGTGTAGGCTACAGTCTCAAAAGATGGAACACGTTGATTTTTCAACAACTTAAAAATGATGGTAACTGGCATTTAAGAGAGTATGGGACCCAAAATCGGTATTGGTATTTCCAAACATCTCTTTATATACATTTTAATATTTATTTAACAATATTGTGATTTACTTTCTTTATTAGATCAAACCCCTGACCTTTAGTTGAGAGACGTCCGACTCTACCACTGAGCCACAGAAGCCCAAGCTTACATCACTTGGTATTCTCAGGCGGTCTCCAAGTACCCATCCAAGTACTGAGCAGGCCCAACCCTTCTTAGCTTCTGAGATCAGACGAGATTGGGCATGTTCAGGGTGGTAAGGCCAAGTAGGCTAAACCATCTAATATTTCTTAAATTGCAAGCAGGATTTTTCGGCAAACTTTTAGAGACCATTATGAAAACGAAAACCTCTGAACCTTTGACTTTATTCCTTGTATAACATTATTTATAGAGCAAACAAAAGTCTTAATCTATGTATTTCTTTGTTTTCAAGTTATTCTTTAATCTATCATAGAATCTGTGTGATAACAGGTTTATAGACCCACCCACAGTTCATGAGAAGGTGTTGTTACAAAGAGGCGGGAGAAACAGAGAGTTGCAATCCTACATCATTCCCAGGTACCTGCAGCTTAAAAAAATTGCCTCTTTCTCCTGCAGCTTAACAGTACCGTTTCACGACAGTTATCAGCTTCAGGGCTTAGGTCTAAATATCGGTCACAGTATGGTTTTGAAAACTCCAGGTCCCATGTAATAAAAGATACTCGGTTACAGTGCTAATCCCAAACCATGTGAAAATCCTCCTGTGCTCTAGTCAAACACATCTTCCCAAACTATATTAACTCCCAGCAGAGGGGCCGAGCCGCTCTGGGCTTGCATTTCTATAGAGCTATTTCATACCCTCATACCCTTTGCATTCAACTTACAGTAAAATAGTAAATCTTATTACCCATCTTTTTTTTTCAGTGAGTGGATGGTGATGGAGTAATTTCAAAGGCAGTGGAGTGTTGTGCTGTGTCGAGGGAATCCTCCGAGATTCCCTATTGTGCTGCTGCCAGGCCGCACACACTGTTAATCACACCATGAACAGACTCAACAACAACTACAGCCCTGTGAGAGGCTCGAGCAACACAACACACAAAGGCTCACAAACACACACGGCTCATGTAAGCTCGCAAAAAAACTGTTCCTCTCTTCTGCAGCAAAACAAGAAACATATTTTAACTTATTGACTTTCACTTTTTTGCTTTCTTTTGCGATGGATTTAAAGACTTATCTCATATTAGTGACCAGCTTGGCTGCTCCGAATCACAGGTAAGAGGGCTAGTCTGGTACTGACAAAGACAATAAACAAAGACAATAAAAAAATCAGCCAACAACACCTCTTTATTTTTTTATTGAGATAAAGATTTGAGATTGATTTACAATTCACTTAGCAGATTTAGCCTTTAGAAGATGGCATGTTAAAAAAAACAGGGTTAGGGTTATATTCAGTGCTTTTGTCTCTTTGCTCAATTGAGCAGGGAAAAATGCACATGAACTAAAGGACATTTTACATCTCAGTTGCTCACTGTCTGTTTCTTGGCTGGGATCTGTAACTTCTTGGAGTCTCCACTTGTTGCCTGGTAACTGCTTTCAGAAAAGACTTAGTCTAGCAAATAACCCTATTTGAAAAAGTGAATTGTTTGGCACTTCATATTTATTAGTAACAAATGTTTAAAGTGCTAAAGAGTGAGCTGTAGACCTGTTTTACCCTGTTTTTCTCTTAGTCCCAGCTGAAGCCTTACATTCAGGATACATCCCCTATCTGTCTGACAAAATCTCAAAATGCAGAACAAATCTTTAAACTAAAAAGCAATCAGGGCGCGGTCACACTGGCCATCCGTACCGTGCCGTACTCAAGCATGACTGGCCTCTCGCTGCGCCATTCCTACGCTGGCCGGCACCGCCCGCGGTCACACTGGCCAGGACTAACTGTGCCTAAAAGCACTATTACCTCTTGTACATAACGTCGTAATACATCACATGCACGCTTTATGTTATTATGAAGCGTGCTCAGTTTACACACAGGCGGACTCGGGACGCACAGTCGAGTCCGCGTCTGCACATCGGAGAACAACACAGAGAGCATGACAGCTACTTTACTGACTTTGCAGCTTATTTTAAGCCATTTTTATCAGACACAGCCATAAATTTAAAAAATAAAATTGACGCACGGCCCATTCCACATCGGAGAACAACACAGAGAACATGCCAGCTACTTGTGGTTTATATTGAGTCATTTTAGTCAGATACAGCCATGAAACTCTGGATTTCTCCATAATGTAGGCTGTCAGTGTTGTGTACCCTCGTGCTTGTGCTCGTGCACGAACTAGACTTTAGGGTTGAAGCATGCTTGGGCACGGTACGGATGGCCAGTTGTTGAAGACTTGACACTAAATTATTATGCCTTCCACTGTTGGCTCCTTTAGTTTTGTTAAAGCATCAATCAGAACCCTCCTCATCTCAAACAATCGTGGCCTACATCTATGTGAGACACTAACACACACCGTCATCGCTGCCACAGGGCTACAACGCCTCTACTGGCTAAATAACAGTGAGATCACTGTGGCAACAAGCAGGCCAGAGCTCACACTTTGTCCCCTAATCACTCTTCACAGCATTTAAAAAGTCATCTCCTCTGCACTCTGAGCAGCATCCCAGGTGAGTGAATGGCTGCATGTGGCAGCTCGGGAAGTGATGATATGGTCATGATGGATGCACGTGGGGTCGAGTATCAAGTCAGGGCAAGGCACTGGGGAAGTGGGGGTTTTCGTGCTGTGGTGGTGGGCACAGCCCCGGCTGTCAGACCGCCAGCCTACAGCCACAGCTGTCCAGGATACAGCGGCTGGCTGGTAGCCAAGGTCAGCACGGCGGGGCTCGAGACTGTTCACAGTCGAGTGATCACACACTCGTAGCTCAGCAGCTCAAACAAGCTCAGGGACAAGACTGAACTCCCTCCTTAACTGACTGAAGGAGAAAGCACTGAGCAGTTCATCTGAGAGCACAGGAGGGAAAGTGAAAAACAGTGATTTTGCAAATTTTTTCGAGAATAGCTCTTGTCTCAAAATTTATTATTTAATTTGAATTTAACTAAGAGACAGGCTTTGATTACTTCTGTATTAGTCATTGATGTTTACTGTATTGTTTATAAATTGTTACTTTATTCTTCCCACATGTTGAATGATCGTATTCTTAATCAAACACATCTTTATTTGTTATTTCATGGGAATAACCTATAGATTGACACCCATAGAATGCTACTCCTTTACTCTCCGAGTCTATAAGAACAACTACAGACGTTGAAAAGGACTCACTGAAGACAGCTGAGGTTCATCAGAAATACCACTCACTTCTTATATGGAACATATAGTATATCATATTTTACCTGCTACATACCGTATATCAGGTCTGTATCAGTATGATGCGTGTACAGCGGCATGTGTTTGAGGAGCGAGGATGTGATTGTTTGCGTCCACGCTTTATGGAGGTGCGAACAGCTGTCTGCTGGCTGATGCTGTGCCTTGCAATGTCAGAAACACTCATTTATATGCACCTGGAGCGGAGATATCTCAAGCGTCTCTGTCTTATAATTCAAATCAAGCTGCCCATGTTACCATAGCCTGTAGATGTACATTCGGGAAGGGCACCGAGAAATAAACAAAGCAACGCGGCTCGAGTGGCTCTGACATTTAACTGAATTCTAATAGAAAGTGACAGGAGATTGACATTAAATGAAATTCATACAGGGCATCTAGAACAACCAACGTGTGAGGGACAAACAAACAGTAGAGAGAGCTGTTCACACTCGCTCACACAAACAGTGAAATGTTCTCACTTAACCAATGCATTAGACATACACTTAAACATGCACTATTCCTTCCAAGGTTTTCAAGATGTAACTGTTTTGCATAACAATTAGCAACTGACGTTAAATTTAGGCCATGTGCGTCATGTCCATCTGCAAACCCTGTTCAAGGTTTGCAGATGGACATAGCATGGTAGGGTCAACATTAACTAGTGCAGTCAAAAATGCGATTCATTGCGATTAACTATCTTAATGTAGCGATTAAGTGTGATAAAAAAAATTAACAGTTTGAAAGCCCTAATAATTAGCTCTATCTAGTGCAATAAATGTATCGCACATCGAGTCAACAAAATTAACAAACCAATCGTCAGCTGCAATTAAAAGGAAGTAAGTTTCCTTTTTTTATTAAAAGGTTTATTTTGGGGCTTTTATTCCATTATTTTAGAGGTAAGTCAGTGGAGAGAGACAGAAATCCGGAGAGAGAGTGGGAAGGAGCCAAAGGTCAAATTCGAACCTCAGGTACAGTCATGGACAAAGAAAGATATGGACATGCTTCAACATGTGAAAGATTTGTATTTCATAGCTGTGTCAATGCAGTCCCCCTTTTTTCAGCCAGGCTGTGAGTTCAACAGGGGCATCTATGGTTTTGTGCACAACTGTGCTATGTTTTATATTAATGCTGGTTGTTTTTTTGTTTTTTTTACTTCTAATGCTAAAGGTAGAACCAAACGTCTTACCCTAAACCAATAAGAGGCATATTGGACTTTCACCCTTGCAGAAAACTCCTGAAAAACTCCTTTACTCCTTTAAAGCTTTACTGTATGTGTGAACGCAAACTGCCGCATTTTTTTCTTTCTGACTTCACCCGGAGTTTCGACTGCCAGCCTCCTAGTATTTTTTACGCAGCGAGTCTGATTGCGCTGATGTGAGAACGCAGAAGGATATCATCTAGAGAATGATAGTAGTGGGAAGTTATTCCAGCAAATGCACAAAAACTGATCACAAACCAACCAATGAAAAACATGTTTTAAATTAAATTCATGGATAGCATTTATGGTGTGCAGCAGTAACTTACAACTTCATTGGAATAAATAAAACAGACCTCTATTACTAAAAATAATCTTGATCCATGAAAACATCAGCTTCAAGTCACTGCTTCGTTGTGCCAACTGTGTTCCACCCTCAGTCACTTGAAAAACACACACCACCATGGAGGACATTAACCAGTCCTTTCTTTCACAGAGGAACGTGTCTACTACAACATGAGTGGGATAAGGTGAAACGAAAACATTGTGAGTGTACTGCTTTGATGTAATGAGTGTTAAATGATGTGCTGTGGAGCAGAAAGGTCATCTCACCCCGGAGGACTCATACGAGGGACTGGACTCGCCACCTGGGGCCCAAGATGCTTGGTTGGTCCGCTCCTCCACACCTGTCACAGAGAAACACACAACTCAGTCAAGATTACTCTCACACAGTTCAGTATACAGTGTGTATTCTGTCACACTGATAGACATGATGAGGAAGTCACAACCAGACCACAAGTACTTTAAGTACTGGTCATTATATACACAAGTTTATGCAGTGCTTCAGAAGTGAGATTTAAAATGGCTACAGTGTATTGTTTTCTGAAAAGATGCAGAGTTATTTCCTGCTGTTACATGTTGTTAAAACTGTGTAATGTGTAATTTGCCTGTTTTGTGCATAAAACATGGACAGGCCTGAGTTAGAAACAGATGTTGTCTAGATTTATGTTCAATATGCATTAATTATGGCATCTGAAACAAAATGACAGAAAACTTCCCTTTCAATGAATTTTCAAATAAAAAGCACCAACAATTCTCTTGTACCCGCTGTGTAAATTTGTAATGTGTTTATTTTCTCTCTTCTCTCTGTCTCATTGTAAATTGTAAACATTTTGGGGGTTTGAGGTTTTTTTTGTGAGATGGAACGTGACATGTTTATTTAATTTAGTTTTGAGTTTAATGTTATATTCTTTTACTAATCCCTGCCAGGAGATTCAGGTTTACACTCTGTTATTGAGAGACATGCTATTTAAACACAAACGAGTGATGGAGCTGAACAAAAGGAACTCCAAGCAGTTGCAGGTTCAAGGCCTTAAGGGCACCTCTGCAGTATTCAGGAAGTAGAGTGGATCATATCAAGCAGAGCAATTTCCATACTTTGATCAATACCAAGACTTGAACAGATGGCCCTCCAGTTCCCAACAGTCTCACAGTCCCTCAGGACTTGGCTACTGCCGCACTAATGGAACATATTTAACTTTCTTTGGGTATTTTTGAAAGTTTTCTGAAATTCTACAAAAACAGACATTTCAGATTAACTGAACATATTCAAAAATCATTTGCAGCAACCCAGCAGAACACACCCTTACACATGTTACAAAATAAAACACTGAATTAAAAAAAACTGGGAAACTTCAGTAATGTGCCTTTAAGACATTAGATCAACATTTCAATATATATATATATATATATATATATATATATATATATATATTTCAATAGTCAAACTGTCAGGTTAAGGTTAATGAAATGAATGATATGTATATTTCTATGGTATCATTTGTTTGCTGTGCATAAATCATTGCCAAAAATAAGAACCAAAATTCAACTTACAACCTCGTAAATTGTCACTGATGAATGCCAGGCTACTTTTAAACAGCTTTGCAGTAAAACTAGATAAAAACTAATTTTTAAACCAAAGAAAACCTCAATATATCAAAAGTCAAACAGATAAACAAATAACACCAATAACTGCTCTGAGCTGCAAAGCAAGACCATCTGGCATATATTGAAAAATACAATATCTGATCCCTTTAATCTAATTTATGTGATAGAGTCTGTACAAAAATATGTGATGCCTCCATTGTTCTTGCTGTTTGAAACAATATTGTTCTGCACAAAAGCCTGAGTTATTGATTGTCCCTTCTGTAATTGAATCCATCTCAGAAAAGTGCACTTCTCTTTGTTCATTTCAGCATTTAAATATTTTCATATCAGATTCACAGAAATGGTGTTTGCTAACAAAAATAATAACAAACAAAACGCTTTCATATCATTTTCTTAACTTTAAAATTGAAGAAAGGATTTCCACTGAGGTTCCTCAACATCATTGCGATGTCACACATATAAATGAAGAAAGTAGATTTATATGATTAGCAGACACGAGAAGTTAAATCTTCTCTGCCAAATGTAAGCAGAGCCTGTGTTGAAGATACAAATCGTATTGACTCCAGGCGCCTTAAAAGAAAAATCTATAACTTTCATAACATAACACTTTAGAATTCAAGTGGACAGATGTAAACGCAGTAAGATGGAGGTGCCTATTGATAAAGGTAAAACAGTAACTATCTGAGAGGTAGTAAAGCACATTTTCAACTGTCATGCTGCCAATCGTCATAGTTAGATATCTAAAAATAAACTTCTGCAGAAAGTCAGCGATATATCTCACACCAGAAATCATGCTCCAGTGAGCACATTGAAAGCTCAGTTTCCCCCGTACAAACATGTTTTTCTGCTGCTCGCACGTCGACGATTCATTTCCTCACTCAAAGTCTTCAGTGTATTAATGGAACATGTAAAGTCTCACTTTCATCATCTGGTTGTGTTATATTATTCACACTATGACTGAAGAAAGGTATGTCATTAATACAGATTGTTCTTCTTCTTGTGTTACTAGCAGCACATGGGTCTACATTTTTGGGACTGTGACAAGACCAAAGTGACATATTGTAGCCCGACAGAGGCCTTTTTTTCCACACAGAACGTAACAATGGTCAGCGTGTGTGCTCTGTGGGCCACTGGCTGTCATCTCGTCTGATTACAATCTCCTACCAGGGCTCGAGGGTCCCCTGCTCTCTTCTCCAAGAACAGACAGCCTGCACAATAAGATGATCACACACCACGCGAAAGGCAACAGGGAAGAAAAAAAAACACGTACACAAAAGCAATTGCTGTGATTTAGTTTAAATGAATTAGGAAAATAAATATTGTACGACTGTTAAGCACTTGAAATTCTTAGCATAGTAAAAGAGATGTCCTTCTCTTACACTGAATGCTTGAAGGTGTATTCAAAAATGTTCTATGAATCATTTATGAAATGATGATGTTTTATGTTGAAAATTTGAAGGAAGCTGCTTTGAATCCCAATTCAACAAGAGTGCAGCACTGTCAGGATGTTTTGCTGTTTAATTGAAATGTTTGACACTCTGATGTGTCATACAATGATTGAGGTTTTACTAAATGACAGAAACATACAGCTGTAGGTATCCTACAATATTAAATGTAAGCTTATTGTTAAACATATAAGTGAAAGGTCAGCTCTAATGAAACATATGATATTATAATACATGTATTTGATGGAAGAATGCGATGTTTGGTTACATTTTAGGTAAGATGCAACAGAGAAAGGGGAACTAGTGAATGAAGAAAAGCCTCAAAATGAAAGATGGCTGCATCAGAGCGTGACTTGTGAGGAGGTTGTTCTTCTCATGTCTAGCTTTGTTTCTATTCCCTTCACTGCATATTTCAAATATGTTTAACATTGTTAAGGTTTTGGTTTAGGTTTACTATTGGCATAATGATGTACAGTAGTAAATATGCTCCTGTCTCTGCTGGACAATTAATAAACAGCAGCATCCTCCCAAAGCTCCCAGCTCAGCACAAACAGTGATCAAACTAAACTATGAGGTCTTTTTTACTTAAAACATGTATCCGTGAGCATGAAGAAACACTTCTCCTAAAGGAGCATGTAACTTTACCTACACCCTGCAGAACCTTCAGCTTACTCATATTTGGCCAAAAAGGGCAAACATCAAGTTTTTCATTCACAATTTCACCATCATTGTATGTCTGGGAACCACACAAAAACTGTGAACTATGTATTTGCTCTGGCAGCGTCCACGTGTTGTGTTCTTTATGCTTTGATGTGTTCTTGAACTTTACATTTTGTACATCAGGCCCCACAAAGCTCACTTATATGTTATCCCGCAATCTAGGTCACTTACAAAAGACAGCAACGACAGCAACGACAACCTTTTTCAAAACGACATGGACATACAATGTGTGAAGAAATATCATCATTTTTACCTTCAAACTAAAGTTGACTTTTATCTGCTTCACTTCAGCGCAATTTGACATGAAGTGAGTCATTGCAGTTAACTGATTCATGAAGCGTTTTACTGAATGTAATAAATAAATAAACCAAGAATAGATGTTTAGTTTTATTCACGTGGAATTTTAACTAAACAAAAATGATGTTAAGCATCATTTAGGCTTTGCACATTCATTCTTAAAACACATGCCTCAAAATAGGCAGGAAGTAAAGCAAGAAATACAACAAACCACTGAGATTACATGGAATTTAAACTGGCAGAACACTGAAACACGGTAAACACAACACAGTTTTAATAGTTGAATACTGAACAATACAAACAAAGATACCAATCTATTGTTTTTATACACCTCCAAAGACTTACACACATCATAAATACATGCACAAACAAAGATCAACTTCAGTCAGTTTGATTTAAGAGGCTATCAAATCCACTTCTTCCTGAAAAAAAAAAAAAAAAAACACCTGATGGCAGTAAAACTACAGGCCAAGAGTGTTGAAAAAAAGGGAAAACACGGCTTCTGGTCCAGAGGGCATCTTAACTAAAATGAGAAATGAAAAATGTCAGACATTTAGAATGAGTTACCCTGGTTCCCAGCACAAATACAATTCCTATGTCTCACATCAGAGGAAGGATCCTTATACAAAAACTTAATGAAGGGTTATGGGAAATTAAGAAAATACATATTCATTGTAATGACTCATGACTTCCTAAAGAACATTCTGTACAACATTTACAGCCTGTTTTAAAGACATCATGTTGATGTAAATGAATCTAAAATTCAGCCCAACACAGATCCTCTGGCTCTAATTATAGTTATAGAATAACTTAACAAATAGCAGCAGTAAAACAAATGACTTCATCCAAAGCAGGAATGAATTGATTCAATGTAATGTCAAAACTGGACAAAAGAAGAAACAAAAAGTTTTCACAGTGAAACAGGGTCAGAGAAAGATGTTAACAGAAAAGAAAGCTGAAGTCAAAGCATGCAGAGATACATCAAATCTTCAGTATTCAGAGCAGCCATGAAGTACAGTCAATGTACATCCTGAATTAAATTGTCTGTCCACAGCTGTGGAGCAGAGAGGTCCGATTTGTGACTGTGTTTAGTGAAGGTGAGCAGTGAGCACGGAGTCACTCTGAGGTTTACATAGAGCAGTATGTACAGCAACGCTGCAATCCAGTTGGTATTTACACTGCAAGTCTTAGTAATTATAAAAGATAAAAAGTCTTTAAAACATAGCCAAAATGTAAAAGCCCAGGTTGACTGATGTTGACAATTAAGTTTTCATTCA